TAAAATCTAAGTAAAAATTAATTAATTACAAATTATATTTAAAAAACAATAAATCTTCAAATATATAAGCAGCGTATGTAATTAAGTTTATCACATGATTTTTTTATCTTTTTCTGTTTTAGGTGCTAAGTGGCACTCGCGGCGAAAAATATTAACTTCCGCATTCCATTTTAATATATTACAGCAATTTGTTGAGATTTTGATTGAGGAGGGCGAAAATATGACAAAATCTTTAAAGGATACAGGAGGCACAATTGTGAAAGATTTATTACCATTCGTTAGTGAATATACGCTGAATGCAATATGCGGTAATCTTTTTTACAACTACATAAATTTTTATTCTAAATATAAAGTAAAGTAACGTAACAAAAGAAACGTAAAATATATTTTTTGTATACTAATATTAATATTATAGATTATTAATATGATAAATTAAAGATAAATTGATAATCAAAAATATATTATCAAAATATTAGATTGTATTACAAGGATATTTTAACAAATATAAAAATTTTCACAAATATATTTGTAAAATTTAAAAAAATGCATTTGCAGAAACTGCTATGGGTACTTCTCTACAAGGTCTTGGTGCATTTCAGCAACGATATCGAAAAGCGGTTCAAGAAATGGGCGAAATACTGATATACAGGTAATTTATAAGTACAGTGAATAACTATAATCTATAATCTATTTAAATAATGAGTGATATATTAATATTAACCAATTTCCTGAAGGTAGATAACCGTTAATATATAATTGTATATTTATATGTTTTATAAGATAAATTAACGTTATATAATTCCGTTAATAAATAATTAAGCTATAATCATTATTCAAATATGTAAATAACAATCTGTAAATAACAAATTAAGCATCGCATGTGATTTATCAAATTATTTATTTCAAACAAAAATTGTATAGAATTTTTAAGATATTGAATATTGAAACATCGTGAAAAACAATATGCAAGATAAAAAATATTTTTTAAATTTTTATTAAGAATTTAATTAGAAAATACAAATACAACATATATATAACTAAAGTAATTCAAAGTGCGCTTTGCAGGCATATTTCACTTTTAAATACTATATATTTGTAATTAAAACAATAATAATTGTTACTTTAAACTTTATCTTTAATATAATGTTTTTCATTAGAATCATTAAATTGAGCTATCAAAATATACGACAATATTCATATCTTTCAAGATAGATATAATCATATCAAAATAGATATAATCAGTTAGCATCATGGAAAAGAGCAATGATAAATTCAATTTGATTTAATATATTTAAAAAAAATAGATTAAAAAAGATTTATTTAATCTTTATAAATATACTTTATACTTTATAAATTTTATTGTTAATGTAATTTCTCTTTTCTATTTCTTTTTTCTACTTATAGTTACTTGAACATTATTAAAGGTTTATATAAAAAAAGATGTTTGTAAAATGATATCATTTCTCTTTTAGAGTTACACACTTTTTTCTGATTTATGATTAATTATTATATAGATTAATGAGACAATGGCTACGAAATAATTGGATATTTTCATTAATGCCAAAAGGCAGACAGCAAACACAGGCCTTGAAGATATTACATGGATTTACTGAACAAGTATATAAAAGTCACATTAATATTTTCTGTAATATTAATAATTAAGTTACTTAAGTCAATTATGTTTATATATATATAATCATATAAAATATAAAAATATAAAAATTTTTAATATAAAATGTCATAATATTCATAATTTGTTAATGTAATACGTATTTAAGATGTTCATTAATTGTGAAAGAAAAATTAATATGCTTTTTCAGATTATTGCAGAAAGGAAACTTTATCACGAGCGTACCAATGATCAATATCTCAAAAGTCATGTATCAACAGATAATATAGAAACGTATGGATGTACGTAATATAATTAAAAATTATTCTTTAAGTTTAAATATATTTATATCTAATTTTTTACGCTTTCTTAATTATAATACAGTTTAAATATTGAAAATCGAAAATGTTACTTACTAAAAGTAATATAAAGAAATATTATCACAAGATTTATATATATATATATATATATATATATATATATATATAAATCTTGTGATAATATTCTTTTATATTACTTTTAGTAGACAATATTTTCATTTTCATTTTTATTATTATCACAATATATCACAAAATATTATCACTAGATTTATATAACATACATACTCGGATATATTTATACATTTAAATTAGGTCAAAGGAAACGACTCGCATTGTTGGATCTTTTAATAGCGGTGTCACGAGAAGGACTTCTAACTGACTCAGATATCAGGGAGGAAGTTGATACTTTTATGTTCGAAGTATGTATTAGTAATCTTTCTTAGTTTTTTAAATATAAACGTATAATGATGTGTGTAATCTGATGATAGGGCCATGACACTACAGCCATGGGTATATGCTTTACTTTATTATTATTAGCTGAACATAAGGACATTCAGGTATTTTCCAAAAAATAAGTATATTTAATAATAAAGAAAAAGAATTAATTTTATTAACATAGATAATCATTTAACGGATAAAATAATGAAAATATTAAAACTTTTTATTATAAATGTATATGCATGTAACAAATTTTCTTACTTATCAATATATTGAAATTCAATACAAGAAAGTGCATATTTTTTGAATATTTTATATATCTAAAAAGATCTTAAAAGAACTTTAAAATAAATACATATTTTTGTGTACATAAAATTAGAATAACAAAAAATGCAATTTTGATTAAAAATATTAATACAGGATCGTGTTAGAGATGAAATCAATATTGCCCTGCAAGAGAGTGAACAAAAATTTACTATGAAGGTGTTACAAAATCTATCATATTTAGATAGATGTTTAAAAGAATCATTGCGTTTATATCCTAGCGTGTACTTTATATCACGAATTACTTCAGAAGACGTAAAATTACGTACGTAATCGATTTTTTGTATATATAGATTTTAATATATTATTAGACATAATATATTACAGAATATATTAAAAATAGAATACCAAATGATATATGAAATATTATAATTTTATTTTTGATGAAATTTAATTTTTTATAATAGTAAGATTTTTTTATGTAATATCTTTAAAATTAATAAATAATATGCTTTTCAGAATCATATTTAATACCTACTGGAACACTAATACATCTTAATATCTATGGAGTTCATAGAGATCCTAATTTTTGGCCAAATCCAGAAGTATTCGATCCAGATAGATTTTTGTCTGAAAAGATTCAAAATCGTCATCCTTATTCGTATTTACCATTTAGTGCTGGACCACGTAATTGTATCGGTAAGTTATATTAGATACTTTTTAGGTACTTTTCTGTAAACAGATTACAATACATGACAAATTCTAGGCCAACGATTTGCTTTATTGGAAATGAAGGCTATGATAGCTCCTATAATTCATAATTTTTACTTGGAGCCTGTTGATTATTTAGAAAATCTTCGATTAAAAATTGATTTGGTACTTCGTCCTACTCATCCGATTCGTGTAAGATTTGTTCCAATCAAGGAAGCGCATAAAATAATTTGAATCAATTTTGTATTTCAAAAACATAAGCATTAAAGGTAATTAAAGGTAACCGTAAGCATTAAAGGTTATCCAGAAATTAAACAATTGTTAAATACATCAATCAATAAATTGTTTACACACACAAACACACACACACACACACACACACACACACACACACAACAACACACAACAACACACACACACACACACACATACACACACATACACACATATATATATACATATATACATATGTTGTGTGTGTATGACAAAAATTCAACAAATAATTATAATAATTATAATGCATTGTACTTGTAAATTCTTGATATTTATTAAAATAATTGCATTTTTCTTGCATTTTTTCGATTTAATTAAAAATTTTTTAGTATAGACTCAGAAGATGGTTTATAAGCACAACTACGTGGTAATAAAAAGTAATTTACAAAAGAAATATATAGAATATACATTTAATGATATACTTTTATATCAACATAATTGTAATATTTACCTTTCAACTTGTAAAAACTTATGCATATACAGATATACATATATTACATGCGAGAGATCATTTCATGTTGCCTTCTAAATATACTGATTGTCATCTTGTTAATTTGACAAAATTATTATAAAACAATAAAATAGTTAATGGTTAAAACAATAAAAGTTGTAATGTCAGATATATTGAAGTATAATAATTATTATTATAATTATTATAATAATTATTATGATATTGATTCATATAAATCGCTGACTTCATATTTTTATACGTTTTTCAAAGTTTGAAGTTTGAGTAATCTAATTTAAAAAAATCAAAGAAATATATACATTTTAATCCTTTTAATTAGACGATATAAAGATTATTAAAGATTATTATTAATATAATACATTATAATATATTATATTATGTTATTATATTATATTATATTAATATAATATTATTATTAATATAAATGTTATATTATACATATTTCTGATAAAATATTTATTTAAATTTTGTTATTCATCTGTAAAAGATTCTAATTTTTTTTAAATGATATATTGCTCAAGATTTAAAATATATAACTGTTTTATCTATTTTATCACATATTTTTAAAAAATAAAATTTAAATAGCTATATAACTCTGAATATCAGAATTATTTAGTTGTTAGATGTTAAATTTATTATGCTGGCATACGTTGCTGGAATTTACAATTATATATTAAATATTTGAGAAAAGAAAATATTGTAGTTTTTAAAACGTATTTATAACATTTATTATTAATATATTATTGTTTTTTTCGTATTAATATGCAGCGAATACATAATTGGCTTGGTCATTTTGTTACTGATAACCTATATCGTATCAATGTATCCGTGTCAAAAACAAATATAAGAAACATTTGAGATATAAGAAACAGTTGATAAAACGTTTGTCAATAATAATAAGATATTGCTATAAAAATTATCTAGTTTGTGCGAAAAAATCCAGCAATCAACTAATTTCAATGAACAAATAAAAATATAAGCGCATAATAAGAAAATTCTGTCATTAAAGTGCCTTATGTAGTATAAAAATAGTTGTGTTTTAAATAAAAATTGAAATAAAATTATTAACATATTTAAGTATTTTAATATATGTAAAAATAAACTATATAAAAATGAATTAAATAATTCATTAACAGATTTTTTACTTTACGTTATGCATATGCACATATTTTATTAAAATAAATACATTATATCTCTTCAAAGTCTTTAACAATAAAATACAAATAATCTATTTTAATGTATTTTTTATTGGTCAAACATTCAAAATATTAAGACAACATTAAGACATGAATATTGCTTTAATGAAAATTAATTAATACACATATATGCGTAATAGATGCACATATTTATTAATACGTGCAATTTAAAAATAAAAAGATTAGAAGGTTAAAGAATATTGAATTTGATTAAAACTGAATTAAATTAATAATTGATTAAGTCAATTACCATATCAACAAACAATGATAGTTACTGTTATTATTTATTTTTATTATATGGTATAATTTGATGTTTATATCTAATGTTTTTATATTGATAATATGACAATATACTTATATAATTATATTATAATATAATTTATAAAACATACACTTCGTAAACGTACAATGACAACTCGTTGTTAATTTATATCACTTAATAAAAAAATTAATATTCTATTTATATAGATTATTGCGAAAAGAAAATTATATTATAAGCGCATTAATGATCAATATTTGAAAAATTTTAATAACGACACGTTGACAGAAATTGATAACACAAAAGTAATTGAAAGTATGTAATGTAAACACAAATTTTATATAATTTCAATTTTAATACTCAATTTTAATAGTCAGTAGTTAACAAATAAATTATGCAATAAAATCAATATTGTATGTTTATTTGTTTATGTTTTTTTGTATTAATGGATAAGAAGCGACTTGCAATGTTTTTCTAATAGTGGCGATTTTTAATTGATGACTGATTTAAATATCAGTGGAGAAATTGATACTTTTATGTCTGAGGTATGTATTTTTAATTATTTTTATGCATTGTCCTTATGCATTATTTAAATGTATATCAATACAAGTATTGTGATTTTAAAGTCAAAATAATATAGCGACAAATTTATGTTTTATTTTAATATTGCAATAAATAAATAGTAGAAATCAAGTAGAATTTGCAGTATATTCTATTTAAATACATTGAAATAATATATACTGTTGATTTTTATTGTTAATTTTTTATCATACTCTGATCATCAGATCCTGTTGTATTTCAACTTATAGCAAACTGATTATAGAGTCTGTAGCAGATACTGCAATCAACTTTTGCAGATTTGATTACTAAGTGTATAATGACGTCATAAACATGTGCGCGTGCAGAAGTTTTTATGCATTGGATTGTTTGCAGTTAGATTTAATGAGATTCTATGTACGTGCTGTTTATGGCAACTATGTTATTGCGTTGTTATCTTCTAAAGATATAAATAATTGACTACAAATGATGTAAGACAGTGTAGAGACAGAGTTATATATACTTTCAACTACAGCATTTGTCTTATTTCATTGCATTTCCATCTTTCTCATCAAAATGACGTGGCCGTACCTGATTCGTAAATGTGTTCGACCACTAGTTATATCACCAGTCATCATGATATAAGAATGAATCGTGATAAATATATAAGAAGTTTACATACATATGAGAAGGTTGTCTTCAAAAAGATAAAGGCAGTGATTGTGTTGTAATCAATAAATTAAGTAGTTCCAAAGTTTTCTGTAAATGTGTATAAATTTATTAGTTACAATCTTAAAAACGCAATTAAAACTATTTTTAGTTTTTAAAAAGTGTAATGTACATGTGAAATTTGTGCGTCTATAAGATTCCCTAAAAATATAAAAATAAAATCAATATTAATTTAAAAATATTGTAAAATTTTATGAAGTTAATAGATATTTATTCTCTGTTGTATATCTTGTGTTAGAAGGTAAACGTTGTTGAATATTATAAATATATTTAAACAAATTCAAATTTTATAAAATATATAATTTATATCAGCGTTTCTGTAAAATGTACATAACTTTTAAAAATTATATAAGATATGTTTATCTTAATAAAACTTTTGCTAGAAAAAATTTTTTCAGAAATATAAATGTTATTATAAAATATGTTTTCATTTTAGATATCACAAAAATACAATTTGTTAAGAAAAAACAATATATTCTTACAATATATTTTAATAAAAATATAGTTTAGTAAAATATATAAATAACTGTCATATATCTAATAATATTTAATATTAATAATGCAATAAATATTAAATATTGACTATTAATATCAAAAAAGAAGTTAATATCAAAAAAGAAAATAAAAATAGATAATTTTATATTTAAATAATCCTTTTAGAAGTAGAACAAATATTATGTGTCGCATATGATATTATTGTATAAAATCATAATATATATTATATAACAATATTTAATGTTTTGGCAAAATATAATTAATAAAAAGTTTTTCAAATAAAGTTTTTAAATAAAACATTATGTAACATTATGTAACATTATGTAAGTTACAAAAGAAGTTACAAAAGATATAAGTTACAAAGATAAAAGATAAATACATAAAAAGATAAAAGATAAATACATATATACATATACAATACATATATATTTCACTTACATATATCTCTATTTTATAACTGCTTATAATTATTTCTGATACTCATACACATTATAAATTTTCTATTATATTAAATTTTCTTTTGATACGTTTTTTGTTATTTAATAGTTTTTGTATTGACATAATACAATATCATCATTTATCTTTTATTACAGCATATTATATGATTGTTATCATATAATTTAAAAGAAAAGGAGTAAAGACAAAAATTGAAGGGAATTTTATGCTTAACTCTTAAATCATAAACAATGATTATCAGTTTATTGCTGTTTTGTTCTTTCCTTATACTATTATATTATTATATACTTCATTATGAAAAGTTCGTGCGACATATTAATAACATACCAAGTATGCCGTCACATCCATTGCTCGGTCATACTATAACATTGTGGTTGTGCACACAAGGCAAGTAAAACTATTTGAAAATCTTCATTTTTAATTTCATTTCTAATTTCATTGATGTGATTATATGTTTATTGATAAGATAATTAAAAAAATAAATAATTAATATAATTAAATTACATAGTGTTTAGTCAAAAACAGATTGCAAAAAGTACATATATTAGGTTCATTTTTTATTTATATAACAATAATTTAATATATCTATAATTTTAATTTTTTATTTAATGTTTTTAAATATAAAAAAAGTGAATATTATGATTAGAGAGGTTTTATTGTATGTTTTTTATTCTCGAATAGTTTAATATATTGAGACAAATCAATTCTTTTAAATATTAAATTAAATAATAAGCTTTTATTTATATTTGATTGATAATGTATGTATAAATAATTTTATAGATATATTAAATCTATTTTATTTATAAATAAATTAAAAAAAAGTTTTTATATTTTTTATATTTTAGAAAATCTCTGGAAGCTACAGCGTAAACTTTGTAAGGAATATTATCCACTTTATAAATTATGGTTAGGATCAATTGCTATGGTCAGCGTTCATCATCCAGATGATTTGGAGGTAAAGAAAATAGAGGACAAGTCAGTCATTTATCAATTTATTTTGTTAATGTATCATGTAGCATTTTAACAGTAATTTTCATATATACCTAATTGTAGCATAATTCAACGTCAATTATCAATTTATTGATATAAGAGATAATTTTTGTTTATTGTAGATTGTTACGTACAATATTTTTATATATATA